GGGAGCTGACACAGGCACTGTGGCCAGAGTCTACCCCCTTTAAGGGCTCTGGGGAGAGGGGGAGGGAGAGGAGTTTTCTTGGTTGTACCCAGAGTGGCCACCAGGGCACCCTGGGAAGGGCTGGAGGCCCCCTATTTCGAAATAAGCGTCTACACAATGCTTATTTCGAAATAGCAATTTTGAAATTGGTGCTATTCCTCGTGGAATGAGGTTTACCAGTTTTGAAATAAGCCCTCTGCTATTTTAATTTAAATTCAAAATAGCGGTTTGGCTGTGTAGATACTGGTAAAGTTATTTCAAAATAGCAGCTGTTATTTCGAAATAACTTTGCTGTGTAGACATACCCTTATAGGAGGGCAGAGGGCAGAGGTTTAGCAGGGCCCTTTATCACCCTGCACTGACAGTGGGCCAGAGGACCCCTATGGAGTGGGTTGGAAGGGCTCCCAGCCCTCTGAGTCTGCCTCAGTGCAGCTGAAGCAACCTTTCCATGCTCCTTGTATTAATCTCTGCATTTCTCCCCCTCCGTCAAGCAAAGCTCTTTATAAAGGTCACTATAATTAGCCCCATTTCACAAGTGGGGAAACTGAGGCATGGAGCAAGGTTGTGTGTGTATGTGAAGATGAAAGTCGTCCAGCAGAACCAGGAATAGAAGCCAAGTCCTCCACCAGTGCTCTATCCACTAGGACACACTGTCTGCCCTGTGTTCCTCTTTGCTCACTTCTCCTGCTTCCCAAGTCCAGGGACTGGACATTTACGAGTCTGCTCCTGAGCCTTGGTTAATGGAGGTGGCCTGTTAATGCACTTGGGGAAGAACACAGGAATCCCTCCCCACCTGAGAGCTAATTCAGAGCCATTTACCCCCAGAGGAGCCAGGCTGCTCCTGAAAATCCAGGCTCAACCCCAACGGTCGCTTGTGAAGGGACTTACCATGATGTGCTGGAAGGTGTAGTTCACTGGATCTGTGACTTTGATCTTGGTCTGGCTGGTCAGCCAGGCACTCACCACCCTGGAAATCATCCGGACGGTGCGGCCAGAGGCAGCCTTCTGGTCTTGGAAGAAGCTGCCGTTCATGATGGTTTCCATGCCTTCATAGGAGGCAAATGCCACTCCAACTGCACCTGCAAGTGTCCCCAAGGAGAAACCAGCTGGGTTGGCAGCTTCTTTCCCCACATCCACCATGGGACTCACCAAAAACTGTGCAACCTCCCCAGACCCGCTCCGTGTGGGGTAATGTTCTGCTTCAACAGGGCTGGGAAGAGAACCCAAGTGTGTGGATAGCCACACTTTTACTCGTCGCTACAGCGCAGACGGCACTGGCAACAAGATGGGGGAGGGGTCTCTAAATAGGGAACTCCTTAATTTTGGGTCTTTGTTTTAATGTTAGATGGGACGGGTGGCTCTTCAATTCCCCCCAAACTGTGAGGCAGTTTTTGTAGAGTCCCCGAGAGCTGTCTTATCAAAACACAGAGTCACAGAATACTAGAACTGGAAGGGACTTCGAGAGGACATCAAGTCCAGTCTCCTGAACTCACCATGCACTTGATCAGGGCTACTCAACTTTGGAAGCCCCAGGGGCCACAATGATACTCACAGCACATGCCGAGGGCTGCAACTTAAATGTGGTTGCATATTGATGCAAATATTCATGCAAATATATGCAAATAGCTTCTTTCACACAGACGGGCATGAATACAAAAATTAAGGCTTAAGCCGCGGCACCAGACCCAAATGTGGCCAGTATAAGCCAGTCAGCACCTCTCAGGTTCTGCCTACAAGGCTTAGCAGCCAACACGTCCCACAATGCCCTGGCACTCATGGACCTCCTCCCTGAGGGCTAGAAACGCCAACACCCTGTACCTGTCCGTTCCAGCCAGCCCTTCCCCTTGTATTGTTCTGAGCTCACCCAGCCTGGGAGATGCCTCGCCATTGTGAAGCGTGTTCCCAGAGGAGGCCATGTTCAAAGAATCCCACCTGTGGGCCCCGTGTTGAGCCCTGTGTAAACCCAAACCGCACTGCAGGCCACAAACGAATGGGCTGTGGGCTGCATGCAGCCCACAGGACATGTGTTGAGTAGCCCTGACCTAGATCATCCCTGACAGGTGTTTGTCTAACCTGCTCTTAAATAGCTTCAAGGATGAAGTTTCCACAAACTCCCTAGGCAACTTCTGGCAGTGTTCAACCACTCTGACAGGACGTTTTTCCTAAGCACCAACCTACTCCCCTTGCTACAATTTAAGCCCATTGCTCTCTTGTTCTATCATCAGAGGCTGAGGAGAAGAATTTTTCTCCCTCTTCCTTGTAACACCCTTTAAGGTACTTGAACATCTGATATTAACAGAGCTGGCTGGTGAAAACCTTGAGTTTGGGGCAAAACAAATTAAACCAAATGTTTGTTTTGAAAATGCCACCGCAGTGCCTCATGGGAGTTGTTGTTCAGGTGTTCCCATTTTTCCTCTATGAGCCTGGCTCCCTGGTTGGACTCATCTCCTGTAATGCACCAAGGGAACCATCTAGCCATAGTGCCTCATGGGAGATGAAATCTGGCAGGAGAGTCAGGCCCATAGAGGGCAACGGGAGAATGAGGCAGCAGGCTCATGATTTCAGAATCAAAATATTTTAGCTCTTCATCCTAAAGCAGAATGACTGTCCGGGCTGAGAGCATTTTGGGCAGCAGAAATCAGCCACATCCTGAAACACTGGCATTTTCTTGGCACCCAGTTTTCCACTGAAGAGCCCTGGAGATGGAACAGTCCCTGCCAGCCCTTGTTCTTTATTCTTCTGGTTCCCTTTATTCTAGCAGGCTTGACTAGGACACAAGGAATTTATATTTTCCCAGGCTTAAGAACCAGGAATTGTCAACACAGCACAGAGGCCTAGTCCCATACAGCTGCCATCCCGAATGAGATCAATAGTCTATCTAGTTGGATTTCCCATCTCCATCTATATCGGCACAGAGCAGTGCTCCATCTAAGTTGGAATCTCCTGCTTCAGGGGGTTTCAAACCTCCAGTACTTTAACTGTGTAAAACTGCCCCTTGGTGGGAGCCCACCCCACTCCCAACCTGAACGGGGAAGCTGAGAAGTGTCCGTCACACACCAGTCCATGCCTGCTGGCAGTGATGAGGTACCTTGTGCTGTTGATCCCTGAACCATTCTGCAGCTAATCTCCATGGTGTCTCCTTTGGCTCTCAGGCTGATGACTGAGTCCTCCCTGCTGCAGCCGTCCCCGATTAATGTGGTCCCCTGCTTCAGGGGGTTTCAAACCTCCAGTACTTTAACTGTGTAAAACTGCCCCTCGGTGGGAGCCCACCCCACTCCCGACCTGAACGGGGATGCTGAGAAGTGTCCGTCACACACCAGTCCATGCCTGCTGGCAGTGATGAGGTACCTTGTGCTGTTGATCCCTGAACCATTCTGCAGCTAATCTCCATGGTGTCTCCTTTGGCTCTCAGGCTGATGACTGAGTCCTCCCTGCTGCAGCCGTCCCCGATTAATGTGGTCCGGACATCTAAGGAGAGGAGGGAAGAGCACAGTCTGATAAACACCATGACTCCTTCAACAGGGGCCGTCGGCCAAGCAGAGCAGCAGGGGATGGCGGAGACAGAAGGAACCATCCAGCTAAGAGGGGCAGAGGTTTTGTGCCCACAGGAAAGAAACAAGGACAAAGTTCCATGGGGGTACTGGACCACGCCTCCCCTCAGGGCATTAGGAACAAGGGGGGACTGAGGAGCTGTAGATGGGAGATGGGGATGGGGCCTGGCTTGAGAATGGGACCTTCAGCCTTCTGCACATGCTGGCTGGAGTCCCGAGAGCTGGGGGTCAGGGGTATGGCTTTGTGAATCAGGCAATCACTGGGGATGCAGGAAATCCCAGGGGAGCTGTCAGCTCCATCACAGACGCCCTGCATGACCTCAGGCAGTTACTGCAGCTCCCTGCCTCAATTTCCCCCTCTGTCAAATGGAAATAATGAGCCTTTGTCAATCTGCATTGTAAGCTATTCACAGCAGAGACCGTCTCTCCCTCTGTGTCTGGGCAGCGCCGCCCACAACCAGGCACCAGTCTGAGCAGAGGATTCTAGGTGCTACCGTAATTCTCATAATAAGGAGGCCACAGTGAAATGTGCTAACTGGATACGGTACCTGCTGATTGGTCCCCAGGCAGGCTCCACCCCTACTTTTTCAGAGTCATGCTGCTTCTGATTTGCAGCTGCCACCTCTCCCTGCCCTGGTGCCCTGTCTTGTCCCCCTCCAGGCCTGGCTTCCTACCCAGCTGCTCTGCGTGGAAGGTCAAGTTCCCGTTCTCGGTGGGGTTGGTGAGAATGTCCATCACAATCCTCTCCACGTTGTGCAGGACGATGGTGGCGAAGACGGAGAGCTGCTCTGTGCTCAGGTTCGACCAGGAGGACGTCTGCTCCAGGACGGAGGCAAATCCCCCAGCAGCTTTCTATGGGTGGTCAAGCAAGAGAGAGAGCTCTTATTGGGTGTACTGTGTTACCTCGGCAACTGTCAGCCAATCTCCTACAAGCTGCTAATAGGCCCGACCCTTGTTCCGCCTGAGCTGAGGACCCACCTTGGTTTCTGCCACCTGTCAAAGTGCCCCCTCTCATGGCTGGTCCATTGACGTCTGAGCCAGCGACAGGACTCGGAGTTTGCTCTAAGGCCAACAGGCATCTCTGAACGACTTTCGTGAGCCTTGGCTCAGGCACTACTGGCTCATGCTTCTAAAGCTGGACCCACCCTGGTCCAGTTCTGCTGGGGGCCTATGTGGCACCAATTAGATTTCACTACAGCTGGTGTGGGCAATGATTTTTGATGGGGAGGCCACTCTAAGGGTATGTCTACACTTGCCTCCTAGTTTGGACTAGAAGCATACCGAAGTTGCTTATGAAGTGCAGGATTTAAATATTCCGCGCTTGATTATCCATTTTAAAATGCCAGTTGCCCAATTTAACTTGCCGTGTGTAGATGTGATAGTCTGATCCAAAACCCTTAGAACATAACATAAAAACATAAGAATGGTCCAACTGGGTCAAACCAAAGGTCCTTCTAGCCCAGTAGCCTGTCTCCCAACAGTGGCCAACACCAGTGCCCCAGAGAGGGTGGACTGAAGACAATGATCAAGCAATTTGTCACCTGCTATCCTTCTCCAGCCTCTGACAGAGGCCAGGGACACTATTTCTATCCCCTGGCTAATAGCCTTTTATGGACCTAACCTCCATGAAATTATCTAGCTTCTCTTTAAATTCTGTTATAGTCCTTGCCTTCACAGCCTCCTCTGGCAAGGAGTTCCACAGGTTGACTACACGCTGTGTGAAGAAGAACTTTCTTTTATTAGTTTTAAACCTGCTACCCATTAACTTCATTTGGTGTCCTCTAGTTCTTCTATTATGGGAACTAATAAATAACTTTTCTTTATCGGCCCTCTCCAGGCCACTCATGATTTTATAGACCTCTATCATATCCCCCCTCAGTCTCCTCTTTTCCAAACTGAAAAGTCCCAGTCGCTTTAACCTCTCCTCATATGGGACCCGTTCCAAACCCCTAATCATTTTAGTTGCCCTTTTCCGAACCCTTTCCAAGGCCAAAATATCTTTTTTGAGGTGAGGAGACCACATCTGTACACAGTATTCAAGATGTGGGCGTACCATAGTTTTATACAGGGGCAGTAAGATATTCTGGGTCTTATTTTCTATCCCTTTCCTAATAATTCCTAGCATCCTATTTGCCTTTTTGACCACCGCTGCACACTGTGTGGAAGTTTTCAGAGAACTGTCCACGATAACTCCAAGATCCCTTTCCTGATTTGTCGTAGCCCCCATCATACTGTACATATAGTTGGGGTTATTTTTCCCAATGTGCATTACTTTACACTTATCCACATTCAATTTCATTTGCCATTTTGTTGCCCAATCACTCAGTTTGGTGAGATCTTCTTGGAGTCCCTCACAGTCTGCTTCTGTCTTGACTATCCTAAACAGTTTGGTATCATCTGCAAACTTTACTACCTCACTGCTTACCCCTTTCTCCAGATCATTTATGAATAAGTTGAAAAGGATTGGTCCCAGGACTGACCCTTGGGGGACACCACTAGTTACCCCTCTCCAATCTGAAAATTTACCATTTATTCCTACCCTTTGTTTCCTGTCTTTTAACCAGTTCTCAATCCATGAAAGGACCTTCCCTCTTATCCCATGGCCATGTAATTTACACAAGAGCCTTTGGTGAGGGACCTTGTCAAAGGCTTTCTGAAAATCCAAGTATACTATATCTACTGGATCCCCCATGTCCGCATGTTTGTTAACCCCTTCAAAACTCTAATAGATTAGTAAGACAGGATTTCCCTTTACAGAAACCATGTTGACTTTTGTCCAACAAATTATGTTCTTCTACATGCTTCACAATTTTATTCTTTACTATTGTTTCGACTAATTTGCCCAATACTGAAGTTAGACTCACTGGTCTGTAATTGCCAGGATCGCCTCTAGAGCCCCTTTTAAATATTGGTGTCACGTTGGCTACCTTCCAGTTATTAGGTACGGAAGCTGATTTAAAGGATAGGTTACAAACCACAGATAATAGCTCAGCAA